TGAGCTTGCGGAGGTCAGGAGCTGCGAGTGATGTGGAGAGGATTAATCAGCTGAGCTTGCGGAGGTCAGGAGCTGCGAGTGATGTGGAGAGGATTAATCATTATAATAATATAATATTAGTCTACGAGCATTATTTGCTCTACCTATGCATGTATGTATTTGTTTTATTCTTTCATTTTAATACAACCTTACAAGGACTATCCTACAATTTAGAATTTCGTTTCGCCGTGCCGTTCTAATAACAATAAATAATAAAAAATAATAATCGTAATAATAATTATCTGTTGTTTACGTACAATACACGACGACGGCTCGTGGTTGAAGGTGACTCCCTGAATGACGAAACAGGGGCGTCGCGACGGTGCTTGGAACTATCTACGTGCGCCATGGCTGGTGCCGAAAGTACAAAAACGGGAACATATATACAAGCTAATTGTAAGCTAGGTTTATAGGTTAGGGTTACGTGGTATAAAATATATATCATGTATGTATGCATGTATGTATGTATGTATTTATGTATATTAACAAGAGATAAACTCTAGTGAATGAAGTAGAAATATAGCTGCACTTTCTATTTATCTGGTTTGAACACTATTTTAGTCGGTTTTAAAGATAGATAGAAGCAAATATATGTAGGATTACGTAAGTAGTTTACAAAAACCCCTTTTTGTTGTACATTTTTATGTACAAATCTTTGAAATATAAAAGATTTTACCCTAACCGTCCAACAAACAAATCTTATCAGTTTATTTACTTTTACTTGTGAGTGTTAATTATTATCGGCTAATTAATTAAAGTTTATTCTTAATAGTCAATGTTCGGTTTATAAATGAAGAATTTCAATTGTCACTGGCGAAATTAGACACAGGTTTTGCTTGGATGCCACAAACAGTGGACAACATCAAAATCAAAAAAATCTTACTAAAACAAAAAGCGTGGCTCTGTACCAAAATTCGAGCTGGAAGACTGACGACCCCTAAACTTAATCAGGCATGTCTACGTTTACATTCTCTAAAACCGGACCCAGAATTACTCCATAAAAGATCATTTTTATTTAACGAAGGCCGTTCTTCTTCGCTTATAAAGGAAGCGAGTCAAAAACGGCAAAAAACAGTAAGTATTTAATATTTTCAACACCCTGTGTTCCCTTTTCATCAGTAATTTCCCTAGATAAAAATGTTCAGTCTCTCAGAATATTTCAGAGTCATTCAGCGCCTCTGAGAGCGTCTCTCACAGTCTCTCAGTTACTGCCTAGGTGTTTTTATAGATCTCTCACAGTTTCTGTATGAGAGACTCGAACGATAAAATTGTTAATTCAGAGATTCGAGTCTCTCGTTCAGAGACTGGATACGAAATGAGGAACTCTCTATGAGCGACTCGAGTCTCTCGTTCAGAGACTGGATACGAAATGAGGAACTCTCTATGAGCGACTCGAGTCTCTCGTTCAGAGACGCTTAACAGTATTTTGAGAGTCTCTCGACAGTCTCTCTCAGCGAAATCGGAGAGACTCGATGAGTGACGGAGACTGGAGTCTCGCTTTCAGAGACTGAGAGACTGAACATTTTTATCTCGAGTTGTACAACAAAGAGGGCTCTAACGGAACTAGAATAATCACGAGTTTTTTTTTTTTTCATTACTTAAGTCATCAGTTTCGCGATTCTACGCGGTGGTTGTGGGAGAAGAATATTGAGAAGACTAATTATGTACCTAAAATTGTGTAGTGGGATTTATACAAGATTTTCCTTCTTTCACACACATATACACACAGACACACACAATATTCATGCGTCCATCTCTCGTTTCGATTTGATAATAATAATAATAATAATAATA